GTTTTACTTCTTTCCCAGAGAGTGAACAGCCTCAGCTGGACTGATGTGATCTCTTCATGATTTGGGATGGAAACGTTGAATAGCAGTCTGTGTTGTGTTTTGTTGCCCTGTCTAATGGAATAAATAACATCTGCAGAGAACATGAAAGAGAGATTAATAAACCTTAATGACAAGTCAAAAACATCCTTTTTGGTATGTAAAAAGTGCATGATTTTGGTTTGGATGCAGTGCCGTTATTAGAAACATTGACTCCTCGTCTTACAAGAAACTAATGCATCTGCTTCAGAGATCCGAGTGAGCTTTCTTTATGTACTTACCCTGTATGATGAAGCTTCGGATGACATCCGACCGAGGGATGGAAGCATATTTATTATAGAGCTCGATCATGAACTGAGGAGGCTGAACCTTTCTGTGTTCTTGCGGCACGCCTGATAAATTCAGCTTCCTCAAAAAATCTTCCTTCGTGAAGTCAAAATAGTTGTCCAGTTTGGAGTTAAAGCCATGCTCTTCCTCAAGGTTTCGCTCTTCTGCCTGAATGAACGTTGCATCTTCTAAACTGGCGATTTTGCCTAAATATTTCCCTTCGCAAAGCCCAACTGAAGTAGCAAAATTCATGGACATCAGGAGGAACAAATATCGCAAACCCTGCATCTTCGTTTAGTTTCTAAACGAATAGGTGACTTTCCGTTGCAAGTTTTTGGACGATCCTTTGAAATCGGGGTTCCTCAGGTTCACTCCCATGCCCCACACTCTTTGGAAACCAAAAAAGTAGCATAGCTATTCTTATCTTTGACACCGATGTCGTAGTTTGAGCCTTGTTATCTTGAGGAAGCTTGTAGTTAATGAGGGTTCTGTAAACACGTTGGGAACACACTAATGAGCGAGATTTAACAACCCTTATTTACAGAGTCATACTTCAGGCATGCAACTCCATCATATGTTTGTGTGTGTATTTAAGATGCTTCAACTAATCAGCCTCAGCTATGATACATATTAACATTTTAGATTCCAGTGCTTCCTTTCATTTTTATTCAGTCAACCACCCACTAAAATTCAAAAGCTGGAATATGGTTGTGCAAGGGTTAATGGTCTGAGTTGAACTTTGCTCTGTTGTTGCAAACAATCTACTTTCCTAATACAACTCATTAGGTCTTTATTCACAAAAAGTCCTCCAGGATTTCAGGAAAAAAACACACACACACAGTGGTTTGAGAATCTGGGTAAAGAAATGTTTGCATAAAAAGCTGTAAACAATACAGTTTGAAAAATAAATAATTACAACTGACGTAATTGCTATTAAATACAAAACTCTTCTTTGATAAAGTATCACAAATCTTTGATAAAGTATCACAAATC